TTTAAGTGATTTATTTCCCTGCAAGACCAGGGAGGGGGAGAGCCTGGCTGTGCCAAGCCTGCTGGAATTCCCCATGGCAACTCCTGCTGCTCCTTTTGAGTCCTCCCCACAGCAGCAAGGACTGGCTGGAGGCAGGATCTGGGGCCACTGGAGGTATCCCTGGAGTGGGAGATGAAAGGATACCTGAGTATTCCACCCAGGACTACCACTGAGCCTCTTCTCCCTGGAAACTACTGACAGCAGGACAGGAGGCCTCAAGTTGTGCCAGGAGAGGGTCAGGTTGGAGATCAGAAGGAATTTCTCCATGGAAAGGGCTGTCAGGCACTGGAAGGGGCTGCCCAGGGAGGTGATGGAGTCCCCACCCCTGGAGGTGTCCAAGGCAGGACTGGAGGTGGCACTCAGTGCTCTGGGCTGGGGATAAGGGGGACACAGGTTGGACTCTGATCTTGGAAGTCTTTTCCAACCTCAGTGAATCTGTGAAAACCAAAATCTGCCTTGCAAACACCTGCACAAATCAGACTCACAGAGACTTGGCAGAGTTTGTTTTATTTATGATCCTCACCGGTGGATTTTAGAAAATGGAGCCTGAATCCCTCATGAGGTCCTGCCAAGCTCATCTTTGGTTTAACCAGAGCAGGCCACGCACTGGCAGCTGGGTCGTGTCTTATTCCTACAGCCAGAACATCAAACATGGATGGGGAGGCCCCAACCCCACAGCTGGAAGGGCTCAGGAATTCCCACATCAAACATTGAGGGACCATGGCCAGGAATGGATGAGCCCCTGAGCAGCAAAGGGGGAAAATGCAGCCTCAGGTGCCTCCTCTGGCAGAGGTGGGGAGGTTTCTTCACAGGGAATGGAGAGCTGGAGCTCAGGGGAAGTTCAAGGAATGGATGTCATGCCCAAGAAACACGTAAAAACTCAACCTGTCCTGGGGACACTGGAGGTGCCTTTGGTGTCCCAGCCTGGAGGTGGGCAGGGCTGGGAGCTTGAGGAGCCCCTGGAGCAACCTCAGTGGACAGGGTCAGTGGGGTCCACATCCTATAGCAGGGGAAATCCAAACCTCTCCAAAATTTAGTGGAAAGAAGCCCAGAGGATCAGTTCTGTTCAGGAGGAGCAGCAGAGTCAGACATGGGATGACCTCCTGAGGAATTCAGGCTCCGTTTTCTAAAACCCACTGGTGAAGATCATAAATAAAACAAACTTTGCCAAGTCTCTACAAACCTGCACAGCCAATTGTCCTTGCTCTCCACAACCCCTTTAGCTGCAGAGATGCTGTGCCTGCTTCCACATGTGGCTTTCTGCACCCAGCCCAAGCCCAGGCTGGACTCTGACTGTGGGCCAGAGTCTTAGACCAAGCCCTGACAGGTCCCAAGCCCTGCTTGCCAGAGAAAATTCTGGGAAAATCAATAAAAAGCTGACACCTGACAGAGTTTCAAGTGGAGACAAGGCATGGCTGAGTCCTCCCACGGACTTCTTCATCCACCAGGGAATCTCAGCCTTATTGCACGGGAAGAACCATCACATTTCCCAACAAAGATGGTCAGAGATAAAAAATCAACTTGTCAGTGGGATTAACTGGGGTGAAAATAGTGCCTTCCCCCTCCTCTACCTGTCCCATCTGTCAGAGGATAACAGGGATGACAAACTATTTGCCACCAAGAGGAAAACGAGCTGGGAGCTGCCATCCCCTTCCCAAAGAGGAACAGCCGCAACCCCCAGCCCTGAGCTCTCCAGCCCCCAATGCAGAGCTTACAGCCTGCTTAGAAATAATCAAAACACAGCTCCCTTTCCATGGAGAAGGTTGTGATGAAAAGCATTTTACCAGTTTGGAAAACTGGACCCGAGCTTCCAACAAAGCACCTTCGAGCACCTCCCGTAAATCCTGAGCCGGCAGCTAAAATGCCAAACACGGGCTCTGAGTCCACACTTGTGCTGATTCCTGCTCTTAAAATAAATGCAGGCAGTGATTGGGTATTGTTCAGTGGTGGAAATGTTGCTTCCAGCCACACCACAGCCACTCTGAAGAGCAAAATCTCCTCTACCAGGGATCCAGGTACAAATGAACACACTGGGGCTGCTCAGGGAGGTCGAGTATTCCTGGTGTATCACAGTCTCTGAGACCTTTTCCAAGGTCAGTCCTACTCTGCCTCTTGTTTTCTTCCAAGTTAACTTGATTTTTATTTGGAAACATCCTCAAGCCTCAATTTTTATGTGGATTTTGGTGTCTGACTGATAAAATACTTTGTAAAAACAGATCTTGAGTTTGTATCGTTGGTAAGTTTGTGTTGTGGGATTTTTGTTTGCTTGTTTTGATACCTTTTCATGGGGTTTTTCTGATGTTTGCTGAACTGCAGGAGTGTCTGGGGTCCTGGAAAACCATCAGCAGGTCTGTGAGAGGGCATCAAACCCCTCTTCTCCGTGCTAGGGAGGCTCTTTGTGCCTGGAGATGGAGGAGGGAGAGGTGATCCATCCTGGCAGATCAGGCTTCAGAGAAGGCTCCAGGGAGAACACAGAGCCCCTTCCAGTGCTTGATGGGGCTCCCAGAAAGCTGGAGAGGGACTTTGGACAAGGGCCTGGAGTGACAGGATAAGGGGAATGGCTTCCCACTGACAGAGTGGAGATTTAGGTTGGATATTGGGAAGGAATTCTTGGCTGTGAGGGTGTTGAGGCCCTGGCACAGGTTGCCCAGAGAAGCTGTGGCTGCTCCTGGATCCCTGGAAGTGTCCAAGGCAAGGTTGGACGGGGCTTGGAGCAACCTGGGCTAGTGGAAGGTGTCCCTGCCCATGGCAGGGGGTTGGAACTGCATCATCCTTAAGGTCCTTTCCAATCCAAGCCATTCTGGGATTCTGGGATTCCCCTCCTGCCCACAGCCCCACCCGAGCATCCCCCACCACTGGCACTGCATCCTCTACACCTGACCAACTTGGTGAAGTTAAATTCTCAGTTAAAATCAGTATAAATTCTCAGGAGTATCAAAACAGTGGATATTTGAATAGTCCCAGATAATTAACTGCTTCCTGGGAATTCCACCCCAAAGCCTTCAGCTCCCCAAAGCTGAGCTCTCCTTCCCTGCCCCAGATGTGCCAACACCTCCTGCAACCAACCACAGAATAAAGCTTGGGAGGCATCTGTTCGTGCTTCCCAAAGTCGTTCCCTCCCAAAATTCAGGCTGATTTGTTCCCACACTTCCCAAAAAACCTTGCAGCATATGTAATTCCATGACTAATTCAGTGCACAAACCGAGGTGCAGACGGGGGAAAAAAGCCCCCCAAGGAACTGGATTCATCCCTAACTCCTGCACCTCAGCAAACCCTCAAAGCCTAATAAAGCCTCATGAATAAATTACATGCTTTTCAGCTCCCTATTTTTCAAAGTGATAAAAAAATGTAACAATGCAGCATCAAGAGATTCCTGGATCCCACCACGCTCTGCATCCCAAACCCTCGATGTGCGTCACGGGAGAGGTGACAGTCACACCAGGCACTGATGGACAGGGTGCTTAAAAAGGCATTGCAGGGGCTGCCTGCTGTCAGCAGGCTCTGCCTGCACCCAGCCTTTAATATATTAATCAGAGGAGCAGAGAGGAGACAGACAGAGAGAGGCATTTGAAGAAGATCAAACACAAACCCTCAGCAAACCCCGTCTCCATTAACATGTGGCAGAGGCAGGACGTGACTCCTGGTTTGAGATGTCTGTGTTTGGTTGACATTATAAAAATAACTGCAGCCTAACCAGGGGTGTTTTTTACGTTCTGATGACAGGCACTATTTAGATATTAGGTCCATGCAGGCACAAACCCAGTCAGGACTGGGATTGGTGTGCTCCCCTTCACGCTCACGTCCATCACTCTCTGTGACAGGCACAAGGTCATGGAAAGCCACAGGGTATCCACATGGGAGCCCGTGTTCCCAGGCAGGCTGGGAAGGCCAGGCTGGGCTAGTGGTGTATTTATTTTTACAGAAACAGAGGATAAAAACTCAAAGTATCTTTCTCAGGACTGGCAGCCCTGCCACCCTTCCTCAGCTCCCACCCACAGGGGATCCTCTGCCTCCCATGGGATATAGGCTGCCCATCTCTCACCTCACACCCACAGAGCCACAGATGCTGAAAGAGAACCCACCTCACTGTTTGCTCCTTAACAAAAAGATAAAAGCATAATTTTACGGAAAATGAATGCAGGAAGAGAAGGATTTCACTTTCTGAATGCAGAAAGAGTGAAGCTCCTGTGTGGAATTTAAATATACCTATTTGATGGCTTTCCTTTTTTTTTTTTTTTTGCCTGACCCTCTCAACGTTTCAGCCTGTGAATGATCACACTCATATAAACAAAACAGGCTCCTTCATGGCTGGAACACAGGCAGGAGATTTGTCCCATTGAAGTGCCATTTCATCTCTTTTAAGGGTTTCTGGAAGAGTGAAGGGTACAGAGACATGGCACCCTGGGAAAGGATCCATGTCCCTGCCAGTGCAGTGGGGTTAATTTTGTGCCTAAAGTGCTGCAGGGTGAGGCTCTGATTATTAAAGAAATCCCCTCTAACAATGATATGCCCTCCTTGTACCCATTTATTTTCCAAGCACCCCTGCTGGGAGGAAAGGCTGAGAGGATCGGGGTTGTTCAGCCTGGAGAAGAGAAGCTCTGGGATGACCTGATTGTGGCCTTCTAGGACCTGAAGGAACTACAAGAAAGATGGGGAGAAGCTACTCACAAGGCCCTGGAGTGGCAGGACAAGGAGGAATGTTTTCAAACTGCTAGGGCAGGGTTAGATGGGGTATTGGGAAGGAATTGTTCCCTGGGAGGGTGGTGAAGCCCTGGCACAGGGTGCTCAGAGAAGCTGTGGCTGCCCCATCCCTGGGAGTGTCCAAGGCCAGGTTGGAGCAACCTGGGCTAGTGGAAGGTGTCCCTGCCCATGGCAGCGGGTGGAACTGGGTGATTTTTAAGGTCCCCTCCAACCCAAACCATTCTGACATTCTATGATTCCACACAGCCACGCACAGGGGGGCCACTCCATGTGCTTCAGGCACACATTCACTGCCTTGGCAGCACTAGCAATCCAGCCTGTTGGATCCAGAGGACAAATCTGAGGTAAAAAAAGTCTGGGATATTAAGAGGACGTGCCAAGCTTTTCTTCTGGAAATAGTTTTAAAAGATACATCCCAAACTTCAGGCAATTTAACACTGGCAGTAAAAAGCAGCTCGAGCCAGTCACTGAACCTCAAAGGGATCCCTGAGTTGTGCTCATCTTAATGAATCCAGGAATCGATTCCTACTGCACAAATAAGGTGTGGGATGGATCAGCTAATAAGCATTCTCAGTTAATTGCTTTCTTCAAGTGACAATTTGTACAAATGATACCATCAAAGTAGTAATAATATCCCTATTGATTAAATTAATCTCGGAAAGACAACTCAAATAAGTTTAATTAGCAATGCATGACACAAGCACAAAATACTCTGAAAACAACCTTGTAGCCCATCCCAGAGTTAGAAATCATGGCAACAGCCATGCCACAGACTTTTGCATCTTTATTCAAATAGACACCAGCAATTTGATGGACCATATTTAGGGAATGGCTGTGACTAACCATGAAAACCCATTAAGGCTCCCTGCAGAGAAAAAGCAAGACACGGAGCAACTGCAGCCTCCCCACTTAGTCACACACTCACTAAAAACCTGGGCCACATTTTAAAATAAATGAAACATTTTCAGCAGCAGGAGCTGAGATGGTCAGTGAAGTCTCTGTCCCAAAATACCCACACGGAGCTGGTGGGGACCCACAGCAGAGGCAACACTTTCAAGCCACGAAAGCTGGGCACCAGGTTTATCAAATCAGAGCAGAAACTCCTTAAAAGAGTTGGCCCAAAGCTTGGTCAGAGGGAGCAGGTTGTTCTTTCTGGGACCCAGAGCGGGAGCTGGGCCTGAGGAAGGGGTCACAGCACCCACAGCACACACACCCTGCCCAGGACGGGCAGTGTGAGCCTGGAGCAACAGAATTCCACAGTCCCAAAATGGTTTGGGTTGGAAGGGACCTTAGAGATCATCTCATCCCACCCCTGCCATGGGCAGGGACACCTTCCACTAGCCCAGGTTGCTCCAAGCCCCGTCCAACCTGGTCTTGGACACTTGCAGGGATCCAGGGGCAGCCACAGCTTCTCTGGGCAACCTGGGCCAGGGCCTCCCCACCCTCACAGGGAACAATTCCTTCCCAATATCCCATCTAACTCTGCCCTCTGGCAGTGGGAAGCCACTGCCCCTTGTCCTGTCCCTCCATCCCTTGTCCCAAGTCCCTCTCCAGCTCTCCTGGAGCCCCTTTAGGCACTGGAAGGGGCTCTAAGGTCTCTCCAGAGCCTTCTGTTCTCCAGGTGAGCACTCTCAGCTCTTCCAGCCTGTCCCAGAGCAGAGGGGCTCTCCCTGTTCCAGTGTGGAAATTGAGACCAAGTGTGAGATGCCTCCAAACCTGGGCTCCAGCAGCTTCGCCAGACTCACCTCGTCACCAGCTCTTCCCCAAACAGTCTGGGGGGTTATTAACACCAGGACAGATCAACCCCTTGCTCCCTGTGGTTGTCAGCACAGCAAGGAAGCCCTGGTGCTGTTATGATTTCGTTTCAAGGCACAGTTTGTGGGGAGGGAGAAAAAAAGGGAGTTGAAAACCTCTCAGTTGAAATATCAGCCTTCCCTGCTTTGCTTTGCAAACACTCCTCTGCTCTCTGCCAAGGAAAGAGGAATTAGACTCAGCTCTGTCTCAGGAAGTGAAGCAGTGGACATTGGGGACCTGAGGAGTGAGTGAATGAGCACAACCTTCTGGAGACACTCCAGGGGCACAAAAGAAGATCCAATAACCCGGAGAACAGCACGTTCCTGTGTCAGGGCCAAAGCCACCCCGCCAGCAGAACAGGGCTGTGCCTGGAGCAGCAACATGTTTAATGGCTTTATTATTATTCTCTGAGCAGTCCCAGGATGCTCCCAGCACGTGCAGGAGAGCAGAGCCACCCTGAGAATGGGACTAACAGTTTGTTACTGGATTTTTTAAGTGGCTTCTGCAGGAACTTTCTCATTTTGCTCACTGAATTCAGCAGCTGAAAAAAACATATGGCCCATATATTTCACCACAATAGGTTCAGGACAGCTGATTTTACAGTATTTGTGGAATCACTTAGGTTTGAAAAGCCCTCTGAGACCACTGAGTTCAACTGTTCCCCCAGCACTGCCAAGGCCACCACTGACCCATGTCCCCAAGTGCCACATCCACACTTCTGTTAAACCCCTCCAGAGATGGTGATTCCATCACTTTGAAGCACATCAATAAAACAAGATTCTTGGACAATATATGGTCCTGGCCCTTCCAGGTTAGTCCAGCCCAACCTTCTGAACCATTTATTTCATTTTGTTATTCAGATTATTTGTATTTAATTTACCACAACAGAGTTAAACTTGTGCTTTTGCCTGAAACAGTCATTTTTCCATGTCCTCCTTGTCGCCTCAATGGGTTTATTATCTCATTTTTGATGAGATGGGACAGTCTCCTCCACAAAATGTTTTGAAAAGGCTCAAATGATTCTCAGAATGATGATGGAATTTGCACCATCATCAAAACAGCAAAGAAATACTTTCTGCCTTTATTTTCATCCAGGAATCACCAAAACAACCCAGGAGCCACCAAATTACTTTTCTGACTCCAGACAGGCACTTATCAGGTGCAACAGCAAAAGACCCACAAAAAGCCTTAATAATTCTCTTTTCCTTGATCCTTAAAAGGATTTTATTACTAAAGAGTCCTTCTTTACTGGGATATGGCAGCTACAGCCCCCAGTGTGGCAGCACAGGGGGAAGGGCTGGCAACCTGTGCACCAGGACCATCAGACACAGATAAATCCATCTGCCAACTGCTTGAATCAAGAACAACTGTTCCAGATTCCTACTGAATCCAGAACACTTTGTTTTCCTTGGCTAAACTCTTTATAACTGGAATCTTACTGGGAAGTGGAACTCAGACACCTGGCAACCACCATCCCCAGGACCTCCCTATGAGCCTCCTGACCTGCACACAGTGGCCAACGTGTATCTGACGTGTTTCTAGACCTTTTCCAAGGTCACTCCTACTCTGCCTCTTACTTTCTTCCCGGTTAACTTGATTTTTATCTAGAAACATCCTTAAGCCTCAATTTTTATGTGGATTTTGGTGCCTAACTGGAAAAATACTGGCCAGTGTTTATCTGGCCAACACGTATCTGGGACCTGTGGGTCATGAGCTGTTGGCCACTAATAAGAAACAGATGTTGATTTTTGGGGCTCAAGAATCTTCGAAAATCTACCTTCTATGTAGCCTTGCAAGGTAGATTTCTAAGGACTTTGGCTCTCAAAATCACCAATGACTTTAAAACCTTGTCCAGAACACGCAGCACGTGAACGGGCAAACATATGGGTTAGAAACACAAGCTTGGGAAAGTCACTTGGGGAAGAGAGGGATTATTTGTTCAAAAGGATGTTTTTTAGATATTTCTAAAAAAATCAGCATGTGAAAAAGAAGAGGACATATGCTCATACTTGTCCCTGAGACATCCATCTGATTGTTCCTGTTGAGAAGCCAAACTTCAACGAAATGCCCCCAAACCCAGCAGATGGGTTGAATTACTAATTGTGAGAAGACTCACTCCACAGTGAGACTGAAAAATCCCACAAACAAACAAATAAGGAGAGCCACCAGAAGAGCTTGGTTTGGGATCTCTCCAGACCCACGATGATGAGCAGTAATTAATTCACATGTATAGAAGCTCTGTGGCGCATTTAAAGCCTTTCACTTCCATTCCCTTGTTTAAGTGAGATTATTGCTCCCTGAAGCCAACTAACAATAGATTTCTTAAGTTTCCTCTGACTTGCCAGCAAAGCAAATATCCTCTGGTAAATCTCTGAGCTTGAACAATGATTTTTCATTTTTACAACAGCACAATCAATGCAATTTTCCAGGTATAACTCTCCAGCCTCCCCCTATCAGCTCGTTAACGTACAAGTGCCGTACTCCAAACCGTGCCTGGAAAAATCTCCACAGACTCTGCCAGCCCAGGTTGCTTCTGAACACTGAATTCATTGCTTATGAATCACTTCAGTGTGTGCAAACACTTGAATCACCAAGCCATATCTAATATTGTACATAGTAATCAAGTGATGCTGTCACAGTGGAGTCTGGAAGGATGCTCTGAGGCAGCTCTGCAATTGTGGGGTTTCACTGGTAAAAGCAGGTTTTGTCTCTTTGTGAACATGTTTTATTTGCAGATGTAAATGCCTGGAAAATATTTTCGGGCTCTGTGTCTTCTTGAGATACTCACAAGAGTCCCATCAACCCCCCCCCAAGACTGTGACACCACAAAAATGGCCCTGTATTCTTCCTGGTATTTAAGATATCTATAACTTTACAGCCACTGTGACAACATGACCAGGGTCTGTTTAAGCTGGAAATGCCATTTCATCTCAGTAGCTTTTTGCCTCAGGTCAGACAGATAAGAATCCAAGGAAAAAAACTCCTCTCACCCCTAAAACCAAGTCATTTTCCCCCTTAAACTGAAATTAAAATGCTATAAATATCCCATCCCTGCTCAGTCCCCCCGAAGCGTTCCAACAACTGCTCATGCCAACTTGTTAAAGTGTCACTTTGGGTTCCTTAAATCCTGCTGTGTGCAATTTCTCCTGCAAGTGTGTCACCAACCTTGATGCCCAGCTCGATGTTCTCCCCTCCGTACACGTCCATCCCGGGATCCAGGAGCCCGATCTCCCCGAAGAACTTCCTGTTCACCACGAAGGAGCAGCCGATCATGGCTGGAGTCCTGCACGGAGAGAAACCCATGGGAAGGCACAGTTAGTGACATTCTACAATGTTTAATGGGCTGAGGTATAATTTCTGCAAAGCTCCTGTTGGCTTCAGATGTTTCCTGCTACTGATTATCCCGGAGAAATCGCGGCAAGGAGTGAGCTCAGAATCCCAGAATGTGCTGAGCTGGGAGGAACTCCCAAGGATCGTGGAGTCCAACCCTCAGCCCTGCACAGGCCCAGCCCCAAGAGTCACCCCCTGTGCCCCAGAGGATCAGCCAAACCCTCCCTGAGCTCTGGCAGCCTTGGGGCTGTGCCCACTGCCCTGGGGAACCTGGTCAGTGCCCAACCAGCCTCTGGGGGAAGAACCTTTGGCTGAGATCCAACCTGAGCCTGCCCTGACACAGCTCCAGCCATTCCCTGGGTGCTGTCCCTGGTCCCCCCAGAGCAGAGCTCAGTCCCTGCCCCTCCTCTGCCCCCACCCAGGCAGTTGGAACTGCAGTGAGGTCTCCCCTCAGTCTCCTCTTCTGCAGCTGAACACACCAAGTGCCCTCAGTGTCCTCACACAAATCAAGGCCCTTCCCCATCCTTGTTCCCTCCTTTGGACACTCTCTAATGGCTCAATCCCTTCCCTACATTGTGTCCCCCCAAACTGCCCCAGTGTTGCAGGTGAGGCCACCCCAGGGCAGAGCAGAGTGGGACAATCCCCTTCCTGATGCCCCCAGGACCTTTGAAGAGGTTATTTTACCACTGCAATGACATGATCCCAAATTCAAGTTCATGTCACTGCGAACAGGCTGGAGAAAGAGACCTCCTGGGGTTAAACTATAGAGAAGCTCTGCTGGAAACACCTTGTGGTGTCCGTGGGCAAGGGCACAACTCCTTTGGGTTTCCATTGCCCACAGCCCCAAGGCTGCCAGAGCTCCAGGAGGGTTTGGATGATCCTCTGGGGCACAGGGGGTGATTCTTGGGGCTGGGCCTGTGCAGGGCCAGGAGCTGGATTCTGATCTTTGTGGGTCTCTTCCAACTCAGCAGATTCTGAGATTCTGTGATAAGTGAAGGAAATGTAAAAATGACATTTCCTTTCTCCTATCTCTAGCCTGTCTAGTAACAGAGTAGACTTCAGGACAGACAGCAGTTTCTATGGAATCCTGTAAAAGAGGGTTTCCCATTTGGATCTTTATAATACATCACAGAGGAGCCATCACCAAGAGCAACGAGGTCACTGCAAATCCTTTAAAAACTCAAGACAACTGTTTGCAGAACCACCAGCTGGATCATTTGCCCAGTACCAACTGGGCTCTGGGTTAGAGATGTCACATCCATCCTGCAAAACCTCAAAAAAACCTAAGAGTGCACAGCTCCACGCTACAAGAGCAGCCGAGCTCAGGGTCTGGTCAGGGAAATAACAGAGAAAAATGAGAGTGGTACAAGACTGACATCAACGAATAGCACAAAGAGAGAGGAAAAATGCAGTGTCAGGGGTTAATTTCTCATAACTGTGCAAGTTTAAAGATGTAGTAGATGGTTGTGTTTACAATGACCTCAGCTGTGTCCCTCTTTCCCTGTGTTCTCCAGCTCACCCAGCTGCCCTGAGCTGAGGATGCTGTTCTGATTCACCCACACTGAGATCACATTTCAGGGTATTTTTTGAGTGGTCAAACACTCCTGACCCTCTCCATAAAATCCCATTTTTCCACAGAGCACGGCACTGAACAAACCATCTCGTTCCGCTCTGGCTGCTCGGGGACACACTCTGTGTTATGGTGTGGGGAAAGTTTACCCCCTGGGATATTTTCTGTGCTAAATTAGAAATATAAAAGGCTTTCTCCCATCTAACTGCTCGCTTTTGAATCCATGTTGTAAAGAAAAAACCCAAGGAGCCCCTCAGATCAGCAGGGAGGTGACAAGGAATGAACTGAATGGAGCTAAGCCGTGCCAAGGTGCTGCTTTTTTGGGGAGCTGTGGGACCCCCTGCCCACCCTGAGCTCAGAGCTTGGAGCAGGGGGGATGGCCACCACCCCTGCAGGACCTTGTGCTGCCCAGGGAAGACTCTCAGGGTGGAACTTGTGTACCTGGGAATCTCACACCACTCAGAAATGCCTGTTCTCCAGGGGGATGTTGGTCTGGAGGTAGAAACGGGGCAACAGGATCATGTATTTTAACAGCAGCCCCCAAAATCCTGGCTCAAAACCCATTCCATGGCTTGTCCATGCACATTAAAGTCTAAACTAAGTTTTAACTTGCAGAGGTAGAAAACACCCCTGAAAATACCCAGACCTGGCTTACAGAAAACAAGGACCAGGCCCAGGCTCAACCTCTCCATCCACACCACACCAAGTGCCAAATCTGCCAGAGGAACATTTGGGGTCCCCAAGGCACCCCAGGGCTCAGTAACCTCATGGCAGAGGCCAAATTCATCTTGGTGAAACCCCTGAGCACCTTGGACAAAAGGTTCTGGCCACTTTATTATTGTTTAGAGACATTTTAATACTTTGAATAGACTGGTAGAAGAGCTGCCATATTAAATTAGTTGGAATTGAAATCCATCAGAGGGGTTTTTTCCAATAGTTTCCTTCCCCAACAGCAGGTTCAGCCTTCCTTCCACTAAGCAGGATAATGTTTCATGGTTTGCTGCCACTCTAGTACTTAAGATTTCAATTCTATTGCTTTATTTGTAGCAAGTTAACTGCCATTAGCAGAAACAATTCTTTCTGAAATGATAACCACGTTACAGATGCCAAATCTAATAGCTCCATTACCCCAGATTACCTCCTGGAAATAAATAGAAGGGTAAATTGCTCTGGTTTTAACAGAGTATGAACAACCCAGTTCATGTCCTCCACTGGGAATAGGTGTGGTGGAGCATGGGAATCTCTGACTCCTCCAGTCAAAACCTGTTAGGTCTGTTTAAAGCACTCAGAGAACAGTTAAAAGCCAGAAAAAGAATCCAGGTGAAAGTTTCAGACAAATAAAACTTCATTTTTTACCTAATAGTGTGGATCATTGGGAACTCACCAGTGGGCAAACAATGTTTTCTGAACTGGAAACAGCTCAAGAGCCAAGAATAGGAGCTGTACCCTGAGAGAGCTGCTTTCATTATTATTTTATGGAATCCCAGAATGGTTTGTGTTGGAGGGACCTGAAAGATCATCCAGTCCCACCCCTTGCCACAGGCAGGGACACTTTCCACTAGCCCAGGTTGCTCCAACCTGGCCTTGGACACTTGCAGGGATGGGGCAGCCACGGCTTCTCTGGGCAACCTGTGCCAGGGCCTCCCCACCTGAACAGGGAAGGATTTCTTTCCAAGACTTTGCAATGTGACTTCAATTTATAGAGCAAAGAGTCAGTGATCCTTCCCAAAACACTCTTGGAAGCACAGCCCCAAGGCTGCCAGAGCTCAGGGAGGGTTTGGTTGATCCTCTGGGGCACAGGGGGTGACTCTTGGGGCTGGGCCTGTGCAGGGCTGAGGGTTGGACTCCAGGATCCTCGTGGGTCCCTTCCAGCTCAGCACATTCAGGGATTCTAACTGGGATTTAGCAACTTCACCTTCAACTTTTCCTCTTCTCCATTTTGCTGCACATCCTGTTTCAGCACAGGACACCACAAAGCTCCCAACTGGCCCTTGGGTCCCTCAAGCAACACAAATTAAGAGCTTCATTCTTCTTTGCAACAATGCTCCATATTAAATAAATGAGGAATCAAAGAGTGCTTGAGAATTTAAATAAAAACACCATTTGATTTTGTAGTAAATCCTTCAAGTAGGTGGACGTTGACAAGAACAGATTGCTCATCCACAACCAAATAATGGCCTGCAGACAAAGAACTGATAAAGCCTCTTATTCTTCTGCCCCTTAATTAAAAGCATTAACACAGCTTGTTTTTAAAAATCACACAGCTCAGCTAAATGCATTTTTATTTGTCCCCACAGCTATTCCTCCTTTAATGAGAAAGGAAAAACACAATTTGGCAGGAAGGAAGAGCAGAATTACTGGGTTTGTATCCAGGACTCCACAGTGTTAGTTCCCCACCATTATTTCGGTTGGTTCCTCTACACAATAACTGATGAAAGGTCAAGAAGAGCAGTTTTTATGAAATATCCTCAGTATGGATCTCTAAATAAAGATGAAGGAGATACAGGGAAAAACATTTATCCTGGTCTATTAAGTTACTTTAATGGTCTTCCTTTCTTTAGCACACAGTTATCATCTAATGATTAAAAAGTCTCAAGGAGATTGCTTCTTCAATTCAAGGAAATTAATTTTCCCCCACCACTGGATTTGGCTTCCAATTTGATACTAAAGAACAAGTTATAAAATATGTAGGAAAAAAGATATTAAAAAAATAATTAGTGGTTTGACTGCAAGGAGGCTGAGAACAGACAGAGTGTCCAGTTCCCATCAAATTGCCTTTGTTTTTAATAAACTTGGGTCACGGAGTTGCTCACCTCCCACATGACAACCCTTTGGGAGGCACAGCCCCACATTTGGCACGTTTGGGATAGTCCTTTACCTGCCCAGAAAGATGTTCTTTGTCTCTCTCTCAACCTCACTATTCCTAATTTAACATCTTAGAATGCCAGAATAGTTTGTGTTGGAGGGACCTTACAGATCATCCAGTCCCACCCCCTGCTATGGGCAGGGACACCTTCCACTAGCCCAGGTTGCTCCAACCTGGCCTTGGACACTTCCAGGAATGGGGCAGCCACAGCTTCTCTGCCCAACCTGTGCCAGGACCTCCCCACCCTCACAGCCAAGAATTCCTTCCCAATATCCAACCTAAATCTCCCCTCTGTCAGTTTAAACCCATTCCTCTTGTCCTGTCACTCCAGTTCTTGATATAGAATCTCTCTATGTCTTCCCTGTACCCTCTTTAGATCCTGAAAGGTGCTGTGAGGTCTCCACACCATTTTCCCAGCCTGTCCCCACAGGGGGGGTGCTCCAGTCCCCTTACCAACTTTGTGGCCTCCTCTGGACTTGCTCCAAGAATTCCATATCCTTCCCATGTTGGGGGCTCCACAACTGTTTGCAGGGCTCCAGGTGGGGTCTGCCCAGAGCAATCTCATTTTCCATGTTGAGTTTGAGGGAAAATTTCAGCTAAATTATCAAATTTAGTCAAATTAAGCTTTAATTAGTGGCCTATCAGTGATTTCCCTGATGACAACAGGGTAGGGAAGAACACCACCTTTATTTTTATGTGATATACTGTGATAAAATACTTGATTTCCTTTTGGCCATAAGCAAAATTAAGGACCTGTTTGCAAAGAGAAGCAGCTGTCAGCACCATCCCCTCTGTGCTCAGAGGACATCAAATAAAGCTGGGATGAGTAACACAAATGAGTGAAAATTAAATATAAGGACTGACCCCTCTGTCAGAGCCTGACCCAGTCCCAACCCTGTGCCCCATTGGCAGCATCAGGAATCCCAGGATGGAGTTCTCCTGCTCCAGCAGCCTTCCTGCCCAGTCCAGCCCACTGCAGAACCACACTGGGCCCAGTCTGACCACGGCAGGACTCTGGGGTGGTGAAGGGGCAGCTGAGGCTCCAGGGTCACCCCGGAGCTGCCACCACCCCCAAACGGGATCTGTTCCCAGTCAGTCCACAGCAAAGCCACAGAGAAAAGCTCTGGTCCCTAAGGTTTTTGAGGCAGAGAAATGGAAGAGGAGGGGAACCAGACAAAAAAATTAATTGGAAAGCAACCACCCTGTTTTTCAGGAGGACTTGGCTTAGTGACCATCCACACACTTGGGAACTGCCTTGTGGAGCCTGACCTGGCTCCTGGGATCCATGGAGGGGTCAGGCTGTGATGGCAGAAGTCCAGGTATAGCCTGGAGCTGGGAGTGAGTCCATTCTCTGCAGTGAGAGGACACCAAGGCAGGAGAATTCCCTGCACAGGGGAAATGGGGGGGCCAGGCAGAGCAAACCAAAGACCCAGAGACCAACCTGGTCCTGCCCAACCTGCCCTCATCTCTCTCAGCTTTACCCCACCACCTTCCGCTGTCCTCAGAAGAGGTTTGGTCACATCCAGAAGACACCAGCAAGGACAAGGATGAGGCAGAACCCTCCTGCCTGGCCCTGGCCTTCCCAGCCTTCAGCCCCATGAGCTCATCAAGCACAATCCCACCCCTTCCTTACCCCCTTCCCAGCTTCTCCCAGTGCCAAGCACACCAGGCAGACACGGCCTGGATGCCTCCCATGGAGCAGGGTTTGCTTTAGACGTGATTCAGCCCATGAATTTGAGAACTTTGCAGCAAGGGAAGTGTGCCAGCGCCAGGACAGCGTGGGAGGGGGTGCCAGCTGTGCCCCAGGGCAAGAGGGTGATGGCAACAGCCCAAAAACTACTGTCACACCCCAAGCACGTCTCCAAAGGAGAAACACACCCTGCTCCTGCCTCCTGCAGAGGACATCTCTGTGCAGATGTGGA